CTTTCATTAACAACTTTCTGTTTCCGCACAATAACATGCAATATTTCATAATGGCGGCAAATAAATATCTCAAGTAAGGTGCAAGTAAGTACATGTACGGTGTCACGTGTTTGGATTCTACATGTGACGTAATAAACATCAGAGATGGTAGTTAACTAGACTGACGGGACATATTTTCTTTCCATAGAATAATACTTCCCATAAAACGACAGAATTACGTATACGTACTAGGTTTGGGGGGTTTCTGACGTATACACAACTTTAATGGCGTTCAAAGTCCATTTTTAAGCACTACATTGTGACCCAGACGAATTACCAAATAGTGTACATAACGCAGAATCCCAACTTTTCTAAAACAACTCTTAGTGCTGTTTTTGTATTATGAATATTGTAACAATGAAACATCTTATGCCTAGTACGCGTCTTCAATCTCGATAATTACAAGGCTCCACGAGGTCTTGTTATTCTTCTAGCAGATGGGAAGCGGAATTTTGACGCATATTCCACGACGTGTGACGTAATGTAAAACATGTCTTGAGTCTCAATAAAAGATCAGTGTTCTGGATGTAATGCAGCAACGATACCGCTTTTTCAAATCCCTGTTGAATCAGTTTTTTTTTTATGATTGCGAACAGAATCAAATTACACTTAACAGTTTTCTTTGCTTTTATGGAGGTGATAACCGCGCCTTTGTTTTTGCAGGCGACAGACAAGTATTGTGAAAACAGGAAATCAACAATGGCAAGAGCCTGAGATTCACTAAATCAACATTTCCCTATTACGTCATTTTACCACAATTCGCTAAAATTGTATGTCGCTTTTGTATATTTTACAGTAGTTATGGCGGTGTTGTAGTGTACTACAGTTAGTAATGGCGCGATATAAGCTATGGAAGAATAATATTAGAATTGATATGATGGTGTAAAAAAACAAGAAGACTACCCCGCCCAACCAAAGAACAATTTTCACTTAAAATAATACTACCTGATAGAACCTTCATCTTGTAATGCCACTGGTGAACGTGCTTACCTGCCGTACTGCTGATGTCACGTGGTACAAATTAACTCGTACCTCGTGACAGTATGCGTCATTAATAACTGTAATTGTGGTGTACATTTGTAAACACGACAAAAAATTATATCGTATTATATACGAGTTCCAACCCTGCTTAAGACGCATAAACAAAACACTCAATCCAAACTATTGTTAACTCGCTACCTTATGATCGATGAAGTTGCGTACGTATACGGAGGTTAAGTAGAAAACGGCGATAATTGCAGCCCGGTAATCAATTACAATATTGCGACGTGCACGCTGCACAGTAACTCTCCTCGATGTCAATTCGCATACAAAATATAGTGCATGCAGAATGCACATTAGATCATGGCGTACTGAAGGATAAAACTCGGTAACTAGGCTCGAGTTAGTAAAATTAGTCACGCATAGCAACACGGCAAACAATATTGCAGGGTTGTAAACAACCTACTAGACCATTTGCTATATAGATTATAAACACATACACTGAAATGTGGATAACGGACGCATTGTTTGTACACACTGAATTGTGAAATACGTAACATTATTGAATGGGCTCTTTATCATCTGGTGTATTTATTGCATTCTACATAACACATGCATAATAATTACCTGCATATGAATATTATAATTACGTGTTTATAGCTTACATATATGCATATAACAATGTACTGTGCAGTTTATATAGCTAAACTGAAATAATGCTCGACGGTTTGCCTTGTCATTCACATGGTATTGTTTAATGTTCAAAGGATAATATGTACAACAAACATTTGTCATGATTAATAATAACATAAATGTTGGTGTAAACACTCTTCATTACAAGACTTAATGACATTAA